TTCCTAAAATAAAGGGATGTGGCCCAAAACCCTGTTCAACAATCCTGGTTCTATAGTACAGGAAAATCAAGTACAAGTCACGATCCACAAAGCTGGTGCACATTTCAGCACTCTGTTCCAGTCTGTACCGGTCATTGGCACTCTTCAACGAACTAGCTAAATGGTGGCACACCCTTGGGCAAGGCACAAACAGCTCACATCACATCCTTCTCACGCGAGAAAAGACAATATAACGGACTCCATGTGCACAGCTGCACGGCCGTCTCCTCTCGCCAATACGCCCAAGGAGAAGGCCACCGCCCTCCTGTGGGTGGCTACCAGACCCGACTCGAGGATGACAGATCGAACCCCAACTGATTTGGAACATGTTTTTGCCATGGCGGCATCGCTACTAGTAACAAGTGCATTGCTACTAGTAACAAGAAGCTACTAGTAACTATGAAGGGACGAATCATGTTTATCATGTTTTGCGTTGTTTTGCCATGGCAGAACCGTGACCGGTGTTTTCTCCCAGTTCAGACCACTGCTTCAGCAGGCTTATCCTTGTCAGGTTCCCTGAAGGCCCTTGGCGGTCTATCAGTGGAAATAGGCTGGCACTTGGAGCACCTGGAACTCATTTCATCACCCGCCAAAACCAATGGAGATTGAAACCAATTGGTGGAGGTTCGTGATTTGGCCCCAAAGCCCATAGAGCCATCAACTTCACATTGCTATGTTTGCTAGGATTCCAAATCAACCCAACATCCCTGTGCAAACACAACATCACATGGTTAACACATGGCACATTGCAACTGTATAGTAACCTTGTATAAGCCTGGTCCATCAGCGAGGTCACCGACCGAGACAACGCGCCTCCGACTTCCCCAAGGGTGCCGTCACCGAGACCTGCGGTGCCTCCGCCTCGAGTGAAACGGGTGCGCCGGTTGGCAGCCAAAAGCATGGAGAGAACATCCAGATCAAGAATCCTAGTGGATCCTCAGTGGATCCAAGTATGTTGTTGATACTGGAAAGTGGATCGTATAGTGGGTTTATATACTTGAATATCAAGAATCCAACATGATTCACTACAAAAACATGCGAACACAACCCGCCAGGTGGAAAAAGTGGAAGTCGTTCCTTTTCCCCAAGAAAATAGGTTAACAAAAGCAAACAGTTCAAAAAGGCATAGTTTGGTTTCAAGATAATTGATAAATTGTGGACATGGTAACCTATAATAAAAGTTGTTAATTCTAGATTAACCGAAGAAGGCGTCGGTCGCCCCAAGAACCAGCAACTTCATGAGCTGGTTGCAGCATCATGTCAGCCATCTCGCGAATTCATGAAATGATCCAAAGCTGCTCACTGCTTCGCCTTGAGCGCCTGCCACACGGCTCGGCCCGGCTCAGAGGCTCGGCTGAGCCCACGCGAGGGAGGCTTCATCTCCACCGCGCGTGGTCGTGCTGGACCGGCACGACCGCCTCGGTTGTAGTGCTTTTCCTCGCCAGGTGGGCGCCTCGTCGCCTAGTCTGGCTTCTTCCCATTGACCTCTGCGTCGCCGCCCACAGTGCGTAGATGGGTGATGTATTAACATGGGGAGACCTCCCAGTTCGACCCTCCTGGAAGAAGGAACATAGATCAAAATACACACCCATAATATGAAACCACAATGGACTGGGACCTGCCCCTGCGTCCTGTCCGCAGCTTGCGTCCCACTGCAAATCGAAGTGAAAAATCCCGAAACGATGCCTGCGGCAACCAGGTGAAAGTTCAAGCCCAAGCAGCTTGAGCGTCTCTGGTTCCTGAATCTGTCAACTTTATTACATCAGTTCCACTCATAGGTTACTCGCCTAAACGCTACCTAAAGGCTTCAATACCACTACTGCAGTGATGTTGCTGAACACATCTGAAAGTGTCTCGGATTTGCTTCGATACTCTTGAAAGTGGTTGATGTAGAGGATTTGAACCAATTTCTTTTCGGATGAATAGACAGAAAGGTTGTGACCGCCCCTGAAGACAGAAATATGTGGGACTCATGACTCATATCCCTGATCTTGAGAGATCTCGAATATACCTGCTTACACCTCTGATCCGTCCACCCAGTGACTCACGTGACTCAGGGCGCCTGAGCCTGTGTGCCATGCTTGCAGCCCATGGTGAGCCCCTGCGGCTGAAAACATGCAAATCAGCACCGCTTTAAAGCCGTAGGTACCATCTGAGTATATCTGAATCAAACAGCATCAGTTGGGCTGGATTGATTCTTAAGCCCCTGTAGTTAGAGGTGATGATGTCCAACTAAAAGGTCCTGGACCAAAATGGACCTCTTAAAAAGTGCCAAGAAATATGGACTCATGTCCCATGCGACAGACTGGGTGTGGTGGGGAAAATATCAACCATTCAAAGGCATTCTATGACTCGATCATCACAAAATCACAGGATGCCACAAGTTCTGTCCTGGTTATGTTGCTCTGAGTTTTCTGGCGTGCCGCTTCTAAACGAAGACGAAAGAGTGAAACCTTGAAAAAAACATGACACAAATATATCACAATGACTATATACGCTATATATATATATTATATAACTAATTACATCTATATAATTACTATCAAAAGGCCAACACAACTTATCTCAAATAGACCTTGAGACAGATTCATCTTTGGATTTGGAACAGTTGGTCTCCTCACCCCGTGGTGTCTCCGCGGTGTCTCCCTTCAGCCACCGGTGTCTTCCCCACCTTCCAGTTGATGGATCGCACGGCTCTCGGGCCTTCTCTCCCCCCGTTCGAGAGCCAAAACAATGTGACCGTTCTGGACTGCGACGACGAAACTCTCGGCCGTTGTTGTTGTTTTTGGCATCGGACCTGACGTCGTCGTTCGTACGAATTAAGAAAACAACAACGATACTTGTCACTTGTCTATGTACTTGTACCCATTTTCCGTTGTACGAACTAAGACTCCAGGTGTGTTTGTGTGTTTTCTTTGGTTCCCAGTAATGTACTGCAGCAACAAACCACCATCACCTGACAACATCTGGAGGTGATTCAAGATTGTGAACGAACCGGTGAGCGATTGATACGTTGCTGATCTGCACTTTAACAAAAATACAATCCATTTGGAAGCAAGTGCGTCTGTGATTGACACCACCATCACAACTACGACCCGACGTGGTAACTTACCCCATCGCACAGAAACTCGACACACCCCCATGGCACACCGCTTACCCCACGAATTCGTGCCCCAAACACAATGGCGCACCGCTTCGACACAAGTACATTTTCTCATAGGTTTCTTCTAAACCTACACCATTCCATTGCGATTCAATCTTCGACATGTTGATGAGTTGAAATGTTTTCTGTGGGCTGCCATGATCCCACCGGCCCACCGATTCTGGCACAAAGTTACAGTAATCCGAGCACCCAGTATCATAAACATGTTTCGGTTTCGACCTGATTTGACAAACATATCGTAACTGTGACCTATAGAAATTTAACCATGCCCTCTACAGGGCACTTGAGTGGACATCCCTGTCGAAGGCTAAGCCCGCAAGCCCGCTGCGTCCTTGGTCAACTCCAAAGAGGTCGCTCCAGTGAGTGTCAAAATGTTCATCTGAGATCGTTTGGAAATGTGTGGAACATTGAACCATTATTCCAACAAAAATATCACATATCATATCATTAAATATCCAAATCCCAGAGATGAAGGCTTGGCATCCTGAATACGTTTTTCTCTTTCTTAAGGCATGGGACCTGAAACCCAAGCACAATCCTGGTCCACTGAGTAGTTGAGACACTTTTGAATGAACACAGGGTCAGCAGCCTAATGTTTGGGCTGGGGTGGGGGTTTGCAATCACTTAGGCAGCTAGCTCTGAACCCCCCCTGAAATGCGTTGAACCCTTTGGAAGCCTTTTGTTAATTGTCCAACGGTCCATGTGCTCGTTTGATTCTCATCCTCCTCATCCTCATCCTCTTGAACTCGCCCAACCCAAAATGCCATCACCCACTCACCGTCACTCCCGAGTCGGTTTCTCCACAAGTCGAAGGGCAGAAGTTGTGTGGATGTGGATGGTAAACCTATAGACGAACACATTTGATGAACACATCACCCCTTTTAAGTGGAGTTCACCCCCTGCTTGTAGTTGAAAGTAGTCCTCCAAGCTTTCAGGGTCAATGTTCCACTTCTGTCAGTCAGTCAGAGTGCATAGGGAATCCTGGACGCTGGCCACGTGTTCTTTGGATTACCACTTGCTTCTCCGTTCGCTTGTCGCGCAGCTGATATTCAGCATGGGCGAACGGCCATGATTCAGCCGATTCACAAGATTCACAGGACTAAAGGATATTTACAGGATACCACCAGCTGGGCTGTCGATTTCCCGAGGAGCTTGCGTGCGCTGTGCAAACAGTTGCCCATGGAGCTTGCAGTCAGTTTCTATACAATTGTCAGCTACGTTGTCCTGTTAAGGTTGCCAGTCCTGCAGTTCTAGCTGAACTGGTGTCCTGTCATGTCCACTCTCTCTCTCTCTCTCTTTCTATACATATACTGTTAATCTCGATTAATACATGTCTGTTCTATCTATATATTTGGTGTTGGCTCATGCTATGTACTTTGCCGAGATGCTTTAAATCCCTGGACACATGTTTCTTCCGGATTTCATCTTCCACAAACTGACCCTTTGGAGTGTCCCTGTCCATGTGCGAACACACATCCAAAGCAATTCAATCAGCGACCCAGCACTGCCAGGCATCAGACCATCTCAGACTGGGAGGTACCCTGGGAATCCCTGGGAACTATTTTCCTGATCTTCTCAATCCTGATCTTCTCAAGATTTGGCCACTGCCGTCCAGGACGCCATGCTACACTACTCGTCACTAAGTAGTCACTCACATTGAGAATGAATAGGCTTCCAACCAATATTGATTGTAATACTGGCTTTTACTCTAACAACTCTTGTTTTACTTTAAACTACAAACCCCAGGAATGGACCCGTCCAACTAACCCGTCCAACTATATAAGCTCTTTCGTTCGCTCCGGAACTCCGGTCTCCTCAGGAAATCCGTGCAAAGGGGCGACCGTTCCCATGGTTCAGATATCTCGCCTGAGGTCTCCAGCCTTGACGAGTCGGCTCCGAGTTCGTCGTGAAGTATTCACCGGATGCATCCACCGGTCGACGGAAGACAAGCGCTCTGACTTGATACGGAGTGGGGCTTCCTTGTTCAATTGTTTCTGCTTGATAGGAGTGTTTTTAGTATTTTTTAGTTATAGGCTATCAATCCTCCAGGTGTGTAGAGGGTAAAATTACTTCATCATGTTATGTTCTATAATCAGCTGCAGGTTTGATTCATGTTCTTAAAAGCCTTTGGCATTGTTTTCAACGAAGCATCGTGGTATTTGTGGGCAACCACCAAGGAACCCACGTTTCACACACCACGGCCACTTGATCCTCAATCCAGCTTTGGTCATGCGTTCCACACGGTCCGACCCAAGACCAGTCTGTCGACAGGGAATGCCGGGCAGTTCTGTGAATAAGTAGGGAGCGTCCAGGTGCTATAGATGGGTGGACAATAACTGGTCACCAATCAGGGATCTGACCGTCTATACACGCCCATGGTTTAGTATAGTAGGGATTCTAAATGACTTCGAACATATTCGAACTCACCAGCCAGTCTAGTAGCGCCATCACCATTTCCCATCACACGGGCTTCCGTGTAGTGGCCGACCTTCCAGCACGTTATTACATGCGTTCGTCAGATAGAAGTAAAGGGAAAAGCTGAGATGGCTGTGAGTCAAACCCTGGGGCCCGGCGGCCCGACCAGTCCACCATGTAGCGAACGTGCGACCGCTCGCTATATCGTGCCCGGTCGGTCTCCTGTCAGTCTCCCCACAGCCAGATGGCTTGGTGTATCCAAAGAATCGAATTGACTGGACAACATCCGAGAAAGATACAACTGTAGATACATGTCAATACTCCCAATATGAGCACGATTACAACATCATGCCATAAAACAGGGCATATAACATAGTCGTCTATAACACTCCCATATCTAATATAATGAACATGCACCACTCTTCATCTTCACCTGTACATCTTGACCTGGAACATTAAGCTGCAAATTTGTGTCTCAATGATTCTTGACCTCTACCACTCACCAGTGAGGAAAGGTGCGAACACAAAAAAACTCCCAAAACGGTAGATGGGATTGGACGGGATTGGACGTAGCTCCCATCTCTTCCAGGGGTTGCACATGCCTCTTTCCAGCCCGAATTGGCGGGAACACAATGGAAACGTATCATCACGGCCCGGAAAAGGGGTGGCCTATGTGGACACCCCGCGTTTCGGGAGGGGGGGTCTATGAATCTGCCAATGGATGGTGTTCATCATGTTCCCTCCCTTTGGGCTTGGGCCAGGTGTGCCCTGCGCGCGGGCCCTGATGGGCGCCATTCCACCTCCCTGCCCATCTGTGGGCTGGCCAAGGCACCCTCCAACACGAAGTCCAGGTCTGTCTCCTCGCTCTCAACTTCGTCCCTGGGCGGATCCGTAAACCTGGCGCGAGACAAACACATGCGCGGTTCGCTGCCGGCGGCAGCTGGGGTGTTTAAACACATGGTAACTTGGCGCGGCCGGCGGAGGCTTTGTGACCGAATCTTCGGTGTTGACCCCGGTGGAACACTGCTTACCCTTAGACTTCTAGTTGAAGATTAAGAACAAAAATCAACTAGAAGTGTTGTGTAAGCAGTGTTGGGTTCAACAAATGAAGGAGGTTCTTGTTCTTGTGTACCATGTATTGATACGTTTGTCCAACTATGACCTTCTTCGCCGAAAGCGTGGTTGAAAGCTTTCAGAGGCCCATTCGGATCACTTCTTCCATGACCATCCAACGGGTGTGCTAGCCCGGTCTAGTAATTCAATCAATCATGATCGATGATCGGCCAATATGTATGATGTTCACCATGTTGAAGACCCCTTGGTGACAGTTGCCTGCAAACTTGCCGAGTGTAGTGGTGGCCGCTGAAGCAAGAACACTTCATAATATAGAATGCAAGATGGGACAGCATTAATCATTAGTCGTGATAGGAGCTCATATTGGCTGGAGGCTCGCCCACTTGTGAACAAGCGTTCTGAAAACAACATGAAGTTTGCTGTGTCTAAAGCCAAAATGTCTTCATCATTGTGGCCTTTCCACACTATAGCGGACAATCACGCACAAACAGCCAAAGAAACCTGGAATCTCGACTACAAAGGCCAAAACAGTATACAAAACATCAAGGTAAAGGATGTGTTTGGTTCCTGATCATATCTATCACGATATATTTCACGCTGCTACTGATGATCAACTCAACCTCCAACTGCCAGCACACTGCACTCACCCTCCCACCGCGGTGCACAGCCTTTGCACAGTGGAAGAACTAAAGTCGTGTGCCGGCCTGGGCGCATCGCAGTGCATGGATCGACCTTCTCGTCCAGAGTTTTGAGATGCCCCTACAAACGATCAGGGACCGTATGGACCGTGCCGTATTGATCACTCAAGTTAAAAATTACTAATTAAGACTGCGACTCAGACTCCTAAAACCAGTTGGTTTTCTCCACATTCCTGGATCCTGGCCGTTCGCTCTGAGTAAGCGAGACGAATCCGTTCCCAAGATCCCGAGTTCCCCGCACCAGCCCGCTTGGTGATTGGACTCAGGTAACTCGGGGCGAAGAAAGGATGACTTTTCTTGGTTGCACTCCTTGAAATCATGGACGTAGAAACCACCTGTTTGTATCTGTTTGCATCCAAGGGGCCATGCCATCCACTTCGATTATTTCGGGGAGTGTAACAAAAGGCCCAAAAGAACCTATATTTCTGGGGATTGCAGCATCCATGCAGCAAACCTTGCTGAGCTTTGCACGGCGTGGGGCTGCGCAAAGGCATTGGGTGGTAGAAGGCGGGCCTCCGTGTTCAGCGCTCGTTCCGCATGCTGCAAAGAAGAGAATCGTGTTCCCAGGATTCCATATAATCCTTATAGCCTCAAGGGGCTCAAGCCCATGGGATCCTAGCCAGGCTAGTGGGCGGAGGATCCTTATACATATATTGTATATATAGGTTCCACTGTCCATGCGAAAGAGTCGACGACTTAAGGCTAACGAGCAAAATCACCTCCGGAGTCCCGGACTGGCCACCATCAGTGTTACAAGATGCCCACCAAATGGGTGAGGGAGTCTTGCTAGCCATTTTATAGATACTAAACATTATAAAACGGTGGGCCCAAGGTCCACAAGGATTATACTATAAAATGACCATTCCTGACATGCTTTCATTCTCCATGTTTTGACTGTGGGTGACATCCTAAATCCTGCTAAATTCTGAACTGAAACTGACAACGAGCCTGCAAGAACAAAAAATTATCTATAGAAATCAATTCCTGACTCCCCTGAGGGGGTCTCATGAAACGTTTTATGAGAGGACCCAACTCCCTCCATTTTATAGAGGATTTGGGGTTGGGTATGTTACAAGCAACGGAAACGAGTTGCGTCTCGGTTTGCATCTCCGTCTTCCTGCAGCTGATTGCTGCGCTGCTCACCGTTCGAGTCGACTGGACTCGATTGGTTTGGACTCGCCCAAGGCACCCTGGAGTCTTCGGGTCTTCCGGCAAGTCGGAACACCTGGCAACGGTCGAAGGCGACCCACCGATCGATGCAATGAACTGCGCCATTGCTTTTGTTGGAACGTGTTTCAAATGATCAAAGCTATTTGCAGTCTTGGCCCTTGGCGAAGCAACAAGGGTTGAATGGATTCCATCAATGGATGACATATATGAATGAGTCAACTCGAGCTTTGACGCGTCTGATCCTAACATCAATGGTCCCAAGATGTCCCCGGAGGTAGACGTGCTTTCGAAAGCGAAGAGATCAAGACCGGAGTTCTATGGAGTTCTGAAAACGATCGTCCTGGTGGATTCCAAACATTCGGACTTCCAATCTGGACTGAACAGAAGCGCAACAAGCGAAAGGCGAAATAAAATGGAACATGAGTTGAAAGCTATAAAGAACCTTTCCCTTGGTGTTTCTGCAAATGCACTTGTCAGTCTGCTTCTAAAGGCCCTGCCTACTATAGGCTATCTTTAAATCAGCATGGATACCAGAATTCCTGCCACCCTCCGGTCCTCCAGCGCGGCTCGGTCGAGTTGAACACCTGCACACTCATGCATTCTCACGCATTCTCGGCTTTGGAACCCAGCCGAAACAACTATGGCAAGAATAGAAACATCAAGAAACACAACCCCAAGCCCCACGAAAACCATGTGGGAGACTGAGGCTTTCAGGTCCATTTTCTTTTGGGGGGCCTTTCACAAACTGCTCAGACCCAGGGGCTTCACTTAAATTGCCTCATAGACTCCAGCATCCAAAAGTCAAACAAGTGGAAGGCGGTGTATGAACACCTCTCATTGCTGTTATGAAACAGAACAAGGAAGTACTCCTACAATCCATGACGAGTCTTTCCACTCATTCATTCCACAAAAAAAACAGATTTGCAATGCAACAATGTAGAAGACTTTGCACATCGAGACGGTGATTCAGCTTTTTGGAGTCACCTGTTGCTTTGGGACAGTGCTATGTGATCGTGTGCGTCATAGTGATAGTATATGTGTTGGTGCTATGTTGCTTATGTTCCTCTTTGCTCAACAATGCGACTTCACTGGATGCAAGCAACCTGAGACTCCGAACGGACCCCCCATGAAATACAGTAGCTCGAACGTGGGAAGGGTTTCTCAGTTGATCTTGAATGATCCTGGATTTCAAGGAAAAATGGAACTACCCGCTAACCGAGTCGTAACCTTCCCAAAGCCCATTCGTTGGACAGGGGCGTCAAATTGAGACACATCCAACATTCAGAACAATACCAAGCATCTTATAGCTGCCTCATCTTCAGGTTGCATTCTCCACAGCTGCCCGGAGGGAAGTTCCGGATCTGACGACAAGGACGACGACTTCCAGGCTTGTTTCGAAAATTTTGGCCAGCAGCCTACAGCTACACTCCTTGAAATCCACATGCAAGTGGAAAACCACCTGTCTGGTCGTAGGAAAAAGGGTCTTCCAGGGGGCCATGCCATCCACTTCCAAGGCACCATCTGAAAACGATTCGCCAAGCACTGGGTATACCGTGGCCCCCTTCAGATTCCATGTTCAGTGGTGAGAAAGAACCAAAGCGAACCGAACCCACTCAGCTACGGGTCCATTTGGTGAACTACATACTCCACACCACTTGTCATCCAAACACCAAACTCTCTCTCTGGTCCGTCCTCGCCAGCTATAGTACATGGTCCTCAACAAGCGGCAACCAACAAGCGGTCATGGTCAGAAACCCAGCTCGACACTCACAGACCAGAAGGTGCCAATTACCCCTTGGGCATTGGTCTTTTCAGTTGCAAGATGGCAACAATGACGACGAGGTTTGAGCGGCAAGAAGTGGCCGCAACGCACCAATTACACCAGCAATAGACCAATATAGTTCATTTTTATGTAAACGATATGTAATCTGCTGGTGTGCTTATTTTTCAAATTTCTCGATCGCTGAATTATCTATGAAAATTGATTTACTATATTCTATAGACCAAAATCTTCACTGGTCACAAAATGTATCAAATTCACTGCACAAGTGCTGCGTTTCATGTCTGCTAACTATTGACAGCTCGAGAACCTTGCACTTGTTCTTTGGACACAGAGACATGCACACTGCTCCCACTAGAACGCCGCTATTCCACTCCCCTTCTGCCCAAGCCCTACACCTCCAGTTCTTGACCGTTCTGCCAGCGAAACGTCGGCGGGCCCGCCGTGTCGAGTCAGCGATCGACGTCCCGGACGCCGAAGCGGGCGCGTTTGCGGCGTCGCACCGTAGTCGCCAGGCGCTGGCGAGCATGGGCGATGAAGGCCCTCATGGGCAAGGCCTTGAGAAGAGTCGAAGATGGTGAGGGTGAGTGTTCGCCGGACCCGCCGGACTCTGGTTGAAAGAACCATTTTGCACCATGAGAATGGCTATATGGATGCCAGTCACACCACTGCCACTTGGGTGATGTGCGCGGTCATACTCTTTTTGTGCTCGGGGATCGGGGAAGACATATGCACAGCCAAGTATGTTATCTCAGGTATCTTCTCTTGGAGCCTGCAGCCGCCCTCATCTTGCAAAAAGTGCGTTCAACAAACTAAAACAATCGCACATTCACCTGCATCACAATTACCCTGCACTACCACCCACGCTCGATGATTTGTTCCTTCTTGGCTCGCCAGCTCCTTGCCTTCCCAATTGCCTCTTCATACACTAGAAGTTCAGTAGCACACACTATTACAATAACAAGCCGCCTTACTACAGCCTAAAAGAACACTTGTCGACATGAAAGACCAAAAACCTTCCATCACAAAGGTCCGGTTGGGGCTCCGGGTTTTTGGTTCCCGGATTGGTGTTTTCGGTTCCCGCGGTGCTTTTTCTTCCCGCGTTGGTGTTTTCGGTTCCCGCGGTGTTTTTGGTTCCCAAGTGGGTTTTTGGTTCCCGCGCGGCGGTGTTGCGGCTCCAGCCGCAAGAACAGCGGGAACAGCAACAGCTAGCACAGCAGTAAGCACGGACAAGAGCGAAACTACGTGCTGCAGAACCAAACAGTACTGCTGCAGCTGGGGGCCAAACGACAGCGAAGCGGAGGAATCCAACCTGGTAGGCTCAGATTTAGCAGCGCAAAGCTAAGTAAGCAGAAGCAGCTGCAATTAAGCTACAGGCTGGTGTTTTCACTGTAAGGGCACAGTGCTGGCGCAAATAGTCTTTGGCGGTCCAGCACCAGTTGGCCTGGTACAAGGTTACATGCCAAATTGTAACGGCATGGTAGGAGCGATACACTACATGATAGATAACTTTGTACCGCCTGCCTCGTCTTCTTCGCTGAGGGTCTCCCAGCGCGTCATGGCCAAAAATGAGGCTCTGTATGCTTTCGTCTATGTGTTCGTACAGTGCGCGGTTATGATGGTGTCACCGGGTACCATGTGTTTTGGCGGCAGTGGGTTTACGCAAACTGTCATGTTTTTACAGCGAATGGCTTTGACGGTTTTGCGGTTTTCTTTGTCTGTTTAATTGCGTGACACGGGTACGTGCTTTCAAATCCAGCGGTGGGCAATGGTAGCCAGAAATTCAAACGAAAGCTGACAAACAAACACGTGAAAGGGCACACCAACACAGGAGCCGGGCAGGGAACACATTGTCCAGGACTGAAAACACCCAAACCTGGGAACCAAAAACACCAACACAGGAGCTGGGCAAGGAAAACACCAATCCAGGAACTGAAAACACACAGACCTGGGGGGGAGAACTCCGGGAAGGGAAAACACCAAGAGTGGGAACCAAAAAAAAATACAGAAGGCGGGAAGGAAAAACACCAATCCAGGAACTGGAAACACCAAGACCTGGGAACCAGAAACACCACGGGAACCGAAGAAAAAACAATCTGGGAAAAGGAAACACCACGGGAAGGGAAAACACCAATCTGGGAACTGAAAACACCCAACCCGGTTGGTGGTGGAACTGAAAACACCCAACCCGGTTTGGTTTCTCAACTTGGGGTCAATAGGGGCATATAGGGGCGGGAAAGAACTGAACGCATCGGTGCGTCATGCCATGTCACGCCATCTAGACCAAACATTCCTGGTTTTGGGAGTTCACAGAACTGTATATTTAATAACCCACCGGGTTCATTCTTTACAGGAGGAACCTATATTATATTATATAATAATATTAAGTATGATGAAGTGAATTTATCAGCTACACAGATCTCACCATGCATCACGTCTATCGCCAAGCCACGCAAGGCTCTCCTGCGGTGTGTGTGTGTGTGTGTGTGTGTTTGATGCGGTCGTGATCTGAAAGCGAACCCCTGGAACTTGAACACGGTTTTCCTCTACATGGGGAATCAAATGGTAGTTGCTCGGCATCAGCGAGAAAAGGGCTCTGGAATATGAAATCCACCAATGACTGGGAATGGTTTGGAAGTGACATGAGTCACATGTGAGTTACAGTACTTGAGGATGGATACTGTATACTTCATGTGGTGCTATATCCAAGCTTTGAGGCTTTTCCTCTGGCAATGTTGGAGAGGTCATGTCCAGTTCAAAGCCACGGATAGTTGACTCAAGCTTCTGAATTCCACTGAATTCCTATATGTCTGACGACCCTATTTCTTGCAAATCGTAAAGGTTTAGCAGAAGCACCCGCGCTTTTGCCCACATCACATGCGTTTGCCCCAAAATGGAACACTGTAGAAACCACGTCACCAGCTTCTGCTTCCTACAGCTAGCAATGCTGCACTTCTCTCAATTGGCGCAGCATTTGTCCGGCGTGCCGGGCAGCGGTTGCTCATCTACCAGTGGACTGGGCAGATCCGTGGTTTGCTCACCCATGTTTCCCCCTATGGACCCTGTAGACTCTTGATCCATGAAACGCCCCCCATTCATCATTGGCGTTGTAAACCGGCTTGAAGCAGCGGAAATAACATCCATGTCAATGAGTCTACCAGGGGTAGCTCAGGGAGACCTTCCAGGAACCAACGACCTTCCGAACGCCCAGCCCGGTCTCCTGGTCATGACGTTCAAACGTCTCAACGGGTCGGGTGGGATCACTTCCCTGCCGTGACGCACGCGACAGAGGAATGACAAACAGGTGCTGCAATGCCCAAAAAAACAAAGAGCATGTCAATCACTGAACTGGCCACAAAGTGGCAGTTGTCGGAAACCATGCACCCTTTTTGGGTCAAAAGACTTTCAGCACTTCAACAACTGACACCACCTCAAAGTATGAAGTTGATTGAAGTACTTGGAGAAGCCGTCTCGTGTGTGGGTGATGGCGCTCCTTGGACTGGGGCACCGTGTTCCAACGAAATGGGTGCGGGTCATGGCTGGATTACAGCGGTGGACTACTGAACATGAACAGATTCCTGATGATTCCTGTGTAAGGGAGGTGAAGCTACCATGGCTTGGTGGAGGAGGTATAGCAACTGGCCAGAGGAGGTAACAGCATCTTACAGCTACCTAGGCTGCCAGCCCCAACCGATGCCGAAAGCGACATGATTGTCTCGGTCGGTTTTCGTTTTTTTTGTCGGATGCCCGGCTTCGCAACGCGCCTCTCGTCAATCGGTGGTGTGGAGATAGCACCTGGTGGGAAAGAGCTGGCCAAATGAGACCTCATCAAGCGGCTTGGTGGATGACCTATAGCTCAGAATCTAGCTTTTCCAGTACCTATACTGAGCCGTCTCTTGCCATTATACGCAACTGATTCAAGTCGAAGCACAAAACGGTGGCCTCCAAATGTGTGAGCGGACACATGAAGGAACACATGCCCAGTGTGCCCGTACAACATGCCCCGGCCGATCTGTATCGTCCGGGCCGGGCCACGTTGGACGATCCGGGCTTCAGCGGTGGGGATCCGAATGGAGCAGAAGAACAGCTCCTCCATGGAGATCCGATTGGTTCGAGCCCTTTTTTCCTCCTGAAGCCCCCCCCATCCGATTTGGGGTGCCATTGTTTAAACGTTCAAGGTATTGAATGTATTGAGAACTGGTCCATGTCTGAACGAAACTTTTATATACAGACTCACACATCAATCATGGGCCCTTTCAGACTTCAATCTACCCTCCCCAAGCTAGCGATGGACTGTCCACCCCAACTGCAATGGTTCATGGTTCGCCCGTGGGCCTTCACACAATAGAAAACAACATCACGGTCGACCCCCGAGACCAGGAATCCTTCGGAATCGACACTCGGAATCCTCACCGCTTACGTGGAGTTCACCGCTTTGGATCTAACCGGACAACTCATGGTCCCTTTTCGGGGCCATCCAGGTAACGACCATTCCACTGGAGGACGGTCGATCTCCATCATGCCCAGAACTTGAAGACGCCCAGTGGATCCACTGATAGTCGGGTTTTGGAGTCGACAAGAGGCTGGAGTCTTTGAACAAAGGCCCCACTCTCCTGGAAACATGGGTCAAGAGGCCTTCAAGGAACCACGCGCTGCCAAAACACGATACTTTTCATCCACTGGAGGGATCAATTTCGACTGTTTGCAGTAACAGAAGGGATGGAAAGCAAAGAAATCTCCCTGTTGTAAAAGCCCACCTCTGATGTCACGCTATGGCCTAAATGAACAACCACACTACATAAACAACGACCAACAGGGACTTTGGAAAGAATTCAATATTAAATTGAATGAGTTCGCCTGGTCAAAGCGCTCAAACTTCGACAGCACCGGGTCGATACAACCGTCTTGAGGCCACCCACAAGCGCGATCTGTGCGACTGCCTGTCGGATTGAGCAGGTGGTAGGTAGTTCAAAAACTGTATACAAGAATGGATCCAAGCACCCCCACAGCAGGCAGAATTGGTTCCAATGTCCACTGACACGTACCTCTTAGCTAGACACATTGGGTAAAGCTTTAAACTGGGATCCACCGAACAACTATGGCAGGCTCTAATGTTTTCGGTTTTTACTGCTATAGCTTATGTATGGTTTCCATAGCAGGTTGTACCTGTACCTATAGAAAGGCCTTAGACAGGTTCTATTTGTACATAGTATGTTGTTTTTTCTTGTCATGTCATGTCTGTTCTTTCCAAGGCTTGGGGCATCAAAAAAAGGCTGCATATTTAAATTTAAACAAATAGAAAACAAACCAAGACACACATATTGACACACACACACATCAATTCCACGGGTCAGTATTTCTGGCAAAGCACATTGGCTGATGAGCAATCCTAGGTCATTGCAGTTTGAACTCAGAGAACAAATGACCTCAGCTGATGTCAACCTTCAGGTGAAACAAAAATCAGTTTTGGAAGAGAATCTCAGGCAACCACTGCTAGCATACTGCTAGTGTTTTTGTGTTTTGAACATTGACTGCAGCTAGATCCACTGAGTTATCATCCCCAGCTGCAAAAAATCTCTGTATGTTTCATCCATAAAGTATCCTCCTGACAATTACTTGGTTGTGACCAAGTAAATTAGCACTCCTGAACTTGATAGCAAACAAATCTAAACCCGTGCCAGCACCTTTCAAACAAATACAGTAGTTTTCGATCGTGTTCAATTGGCATGCAAGAGGTAGAGCAAACCATAAACAACCAAAAGTATCCCAAAGTGGGAGTTTGTGGCTATTCCACGCTCTCCCCTGTCATTTCCTTCTGGGGCAGTTGCCTAGTTGTTGGGGGTAGCTGCCCAGAGGTAGGGATCGTGACTTCACCAACTCGTTGAGATCAAAAACTAAACTCGTTGATTCCAATGCGGTCCACGCCATTTCAATCCTTTTCGATCAAGTTTCCTCTTTCCGCCCGGCCACAAAGGGTGGTGCATGGACGTCCCGAATCACCGTCCTGCATGCTCCTTCGCCCCGGTCACTTCCACCGTGGGCGCTTCGCGGACGTCGAGCATCCGCGCCGAAGCCCAAGGGAGGCGTGGTGGAAGCGGCCGCGGAGCTGGGTGCCTCAGTGGGAAGAGATGGGACGGTCGGAGATGGATGCAGGGTACCATCCAAACCGGCGAAAGGACAGAAGGCATCTGTGGCATGTGGAGGGTTCCCGGAGGGCTTTCTTCTCAGACAAATGGCAATATCTATGAGTATGGAATCATGGCTTTGTGATGCTTTGTGTTTTGATACCCCTAACACATAACACTTGACAACACACACACTTGAGAAGGTTGCTCCGTGGAGCGCGATTTCAGGCTGCTTCGCGGTGTGCATTAGCACTTTAAGGGTAGTTACTGCATTAGCCGAATGCATTAGCACTTTACTGCAAAACAACGTATGAGACAGCGTTGAACTGACTTAGAAGCATCAACGAGTGAGAATTAAAATTGCAGGTACAAGATACTGCGTCCAGTATCTCTTCCAACCGAACACCATAGCTTTGTTAGCACGGCTAGGTGAACGGTCGCCGTGCCCCCTGCTACTGTACAAGGTCTGAAAAGTCATAGGAATAGAAATAGCTAGAGTAGTGTCCTTGGAAACAGGAGTGGACACACACAATGAGCCGAGCACGGCGCAACTAGAAAGGTAACTCTGCTGGCGGATCGTCTTTTCCTCGAAGCGACACCTGAGCAAGTGGACACCTGAGCAAGTGGATCAAATTTGTTTCTCCGTGGTCGTAGCGCCGCGGCGCAGTGTTCTTTTGCTTTTTCTCTTTCTTCGTCTTCTTCTTCTTCTTCTTTTTCTTTTTCTCTCTCCTGTTTCCTGCCAGGGGGGTAGTGAAGGGGTGTTCGGGCGTGCATTGACTAAACGAGCCTGGATAATACCTAAAAAGCCTGGAGGAAGGAACAAACGAAAAGGCAAAGAAAAGAAAAACAAGAAAAGGTGCAGGGGGTGAAGGGTGGGGTAAATGCTCTCATGAGCGAAGTGAAGCCGAATCGGCGCAGTGAAAAAATTAAAAGTTGGAAAAGACTTCTCCAGTGTGAAACTGATTCAGTTGAACTCTGCAGTATATTTCAGTGAAAAATTCAGTGAGCTCTGCAGTAACACTTCACGTGTGCCAGGTGAGACATTCCAATCAAGCTGATTTCAAACAGGAAAATTCAGTCGAGTAAACTTCAGAAAATCTTCAGGAAGACTTACTCCTGCGGTGAGGAGTGAAAAGGTTCTTGCAGTAACGGCGCTCCGTAGGGATCACACAGCTTACCACAGTGGGAAGAAGCTGCGAAGACACACTTGAGAAGGTTGCTCCGTGGAGCGCGATTTCAGGCTGCTTCGCGGTGTGCATTAGCACTTTAAGGGTAGTTACTGCATTAGCCGAATGCATTAGCACTTTACTGCAAAACAACGTATGAGACAGCGTTGAACTGACTTACAAGCATCAACGAGTGAGAATTAAAATTGCAGGTACAAGATACTGCGTCCAGTATCTCTTCCAACCGAACACCATAGCTTTGTTAGCACGGCTAGGTGAACGGCCGCCGTGCCCCCTGCTACTGGACAAGGTGTGAAAAGTCATAGGAATAGAAATAGCTAGAGTAGTGTCCTTGGAAACAGGAGTGGACACACACACACACACTTGAGTAGGTTGCTCCGTGGAGCGCGGATTTCAGGCTGCTTCGCGGTGAGCATTAGCCCTTTAAGATTACTGCAGGTTAGACCTTGACTGAAAAAAATGCTGGGTCCGAGTAACAGTATTGTTGAACAAGAATGCAAGTGAAACGATTGAAACAGTTCTAAAATGGCAGGTACGTCGATTTGGCGTCCCAAATCGATTTCACAGACCAATGCAAGTGTCTTTGTTAGTGCCAGACTTGCATGGTCCCTGGCACCCCCTGCTGCTGTACATTGGTCACAAAAGTCATAGGGTAGGTTAGAAAGAGTTAGGGTAGTGTCCTTGGAAACAGGAGTGGACACACACAATGAGCCGAATCGGCGCATATAGACCGGATCAGAAAATACCGTGTAATAAATAAATAGTGGTAGGGCAGGACGTCGGAAAGGTCTTGTAAATTGTAAACTGTAAAATGTAAAGTGAAGGACTGCGAGTCTGCCGGCGCATGGTCCTTTTCCTCGTGGCCGCAGCGCCGCGGCGCAATGTTCTTTGGAATGACCTTTTTTGTCACATAGAGCTGCATCAACTGCTGTGCTGTGGCTGGTGCTGGGTGCTGTGGGAACGTGTATCTTCGTAAAGTGTGGTGGCGTGACTGTAAGCCTGAAAGGCGTAGTCTGTGACTCCCCGCTGAGGTGCAGTTGGTGGTGCAGTTGGCTGAGGTGTGAGTTGTGGCACTTGTGGTTGCGGTAGTGGTTGTGGTGGCGTATGGTGAGCTGAAGCGGAAATGGCAATGTGCTGCGGGGCTGCTGGAGTGTGTGGTGGTGGTGGTGGAGCCGGTGTGGTAGGCTGTGGTATGGCGGTCACTGCTGGATTGGTGGCATGTGGTGGAGCAGTTGTTGGAGGTGGTGGTTGTAGTAATGGTGTGGGTGGTGATTGGTTTGTCGTATGCGGTGGATGTGGTTGATGTGGTTGATGAGGTTGAGGTTGAGGTGGCAGTGTGGGATGTGTGTGGACATGGGATTGTATTGGCTGTGTCGCGTGAAGTGGATGCTGTTGCGGATGCTGCTGTAGATGTGGTTGCTGCTGTAGATGTGGTGGTAGTGAATACGGCCAGGGATACGTCATGGCTGCTCGGCAAGTCGAATAGAGTCAATGTATGTGTAAATAAAGGTGTGAATCAAAGCAGTCCTTGAACTTGAATGAGTGAAACTGTAGGCTGTATAACAGGTCGCTGTGGTTGCTGCTTGTGTCGCTGTGGTTGCTGCTTGTGAAACTGAATGCTGCTTGTGTCGCTGTGGTTGCTGCTGTAGATGCGGTGGTAGTGAATACGGCCAGGGATACGTCATGGCTGCTCGGCAAGTCGAATAAAGTCGATGTATGTGTAAATAAAGGTGTGAATCAAAGCAGTCCTTGAACTTGAATGAGTGAAACTGTAGGCTGTATAACAGGTCGCTGCAAAGAGGAGGAGTGTGCAATTGTCTTCAATTAACATCTTGAAATTAAAATTGAACTTAAAAATTGGAAGGAAAGGATTCCCGGGTGAAACAGTTACAGTTTGACTCTGCAGTACATTTCAGAAGGAACTTCAGTGAACTCTGCAGTAAACTTCACGTGTGCAGGGTGAGACAATTCAAGCGGAATTTCGAGCAGGGGAATTCAGTAGAGTAAATTCAGAAAAACTTCAGGAAGCTTACCCCTGCGATGAGGAGTGGAAAGGTTCTTGCAGTAACGGCGCCCCGCAGGGATCACACAGCTTACCACACTGGGAAGAAGCTGCGAAGACACACTTGAGTAGGTTGCTCCGTGGAGCGCGATTTCAGGCTGCTTCGCGGTGAGCATTAGCCCTTTAAGATTACTGCAGGTTAGACCTTGACTGAAAAAATGCTGGGTCCGAGTAACAGTATTGTTGAACAAGAATGCAAGTGAAACGATTGAAACAGTTCTAAAATGGCAGGTACGTCGATTTGGCGTCCCAAATCGATTTCACAGACCAATGCAAGTGTCTTTGTTAGTGCCAGACTTGCATGGTCCCTGGCACCCCCTGCTGCTGTACATTGGTCACAAAAGTCATAGGGTAGGTTAGAAAGAGTTAGGGTAGTGTCCTTGGAAACAGGAGTGGACACACACACACACTTAGGATAGGGTGTACTGAACTGAAAGCAGTGCCACACGCCGGCCTAGGGTTCCAATTCCTAAGGGTACAGGTAAGGAAACCTAAAAGGAAGTGGAGGTCCATCAAGTTCAGCGAGGCCATCAATTCTAAAGGAACCACCGGACGATCGATCGACAGAATGACGTCGTTCGCTCACATCTGCAGAGCAAGAAAACATCAAATCTTCAAATCTTCGAGGTTCTTGGCTTAGCCTCTTGCCATGCGGAGAAGGAAAATGCAGGTACGTGCAATCTGCGTCCAGATTGCATATCACAGCAAACTTGAAGTGTCTTCGTCGAGCGGTGACTTCAAGAATGCCCACCGCTCCCCTGCTGTAAATGTGGAAGCAAAACCAAAAACCAAACAATCCGAAAGGATCCCTGTGATTCCAAGGGTTACACACACACGCCTCCCCAAAGGGAGGCAAATTTCTCGGTAGGTCTACCTTTTGATAATAAGCTCCGGACGGGTCAAAGCCAGGTGTTCTTCTGAACCAGGCTCCGGACAACTCAAAATGGAGGAGGTGAGATTTCAGTGAGGATGGTTGGTGCGGTTGCCAGCTGCACAGTAAAAGGCCCAGGCAGCCCTGCACGCGGTTATCCAGTAGGGTGTAAACCCAAGGTGTGTGGAGGCGCAGGAAGAGGAAGAACAAGAAACGGAAAAGAAGTGACGGTTTCTTGTAAACTGGAGGAAGGATGGTTGGTGCGGTTGCCAGCTGCACAGTGAAAGGCCCAGGCACCCCTGCACGCTGTTAGCCGGTAGGGTGTAGACCCCGGCGTAAGGAAGGGAAAGGAAAGGTGTAGGCGGCGAGGCCGGTAGGAGAGAGCTGCATAGCGGCGGGAGGCGCAGGGAGAGAGAGAGAGAGAGAGAGTGAGAGAGAGAGAGAGAGAGTGAGAGAGGTGCTCCCAGCGACGAGCCCAGCGTCCAAGGACACACCAAACGAGAAAAGGAATGAGACGATGGTGTTCCCAGCTACCACTCAAGCGTCCAAGGACACACCCGTCAAGAAAAGGAGAGAGAGCGAGAGAGAGAGAGAGAGAGAGAGAGAGAGGTGCTCCCAGCTACGAAACAAGCGTCCAGGGACACACCAAAGAGGAGCGGGGAGCGGAGAAGGAGGAATCATCACACTAAGGTCCCGACAGGTTCCAATGAACATTAAACTTGCTTTGACCGCTGTGGTCACCTTGTGCCCTGCCGAAATGGCTGGCTGCTTTGACCGCTACGGTCACGTAAAGGCATGAGCCAACTTGGAATTCCAAAGATGAGACAAACATCCCACTTCTTGAGGCGTAAGCCATCTACTGTCCGCTCCGGACACTACATCTCCAAAGCAGGGGAGATAACGACAACGGGTCCACGGAGGCACTCTGCGGGCTCATCCCGGGTTGGCACGAGGCCAAACACACTTAGGATAGGGTGTACTGAACTGAAAGCGGTGCCACACGCCGGCCTAGGGTTCCAATTCCTAAGGGTACAGGTAAGGAAACCTAAAAGGAAGTGGAGGTCCATCAAGTTCAGCGAGGCCATCAATTCTAAAGGAACCACCGGACGATCGATCGACAGAATGACGTCGTTCGCTCACATCTGCAGTGCAAGAAAACATCAAATCTTCAAATCTTCGAGGTTCTTGACTTAGCCTCTTGCCATGCGGAGAAGGAAAATGCAGGTACGTGCAATCTGCGTCCAGATTGCATATCACAGCAAACTTGAAGTGTCTTCGTTGAGCGGTGACTTCAAGAATGCCCACCGCTCCCCTGCTGTAAATGTGGAAGCAAAACCAAAAACCAAACAATCCGAAAGGATCCCTGTGATTCCAAGGGTTACACACACAAAAGAGGACAAACGCACACACACAAAAAAGAAACACACACACACAGGTGACCCACAATTACACCTGATCGGTTGGGGACAGCTTGAACTACATAGTAGACCCCTTAAGAGATTGGTTCCCGCATGTAGATCGTCCGGACTCTCAAGTGTCCACTGAAAGCATTGCGACCGAGTGGAGAGATCAAGCTCGGCGCCTGAGTGGACGCCTCTTCCCAAGCGATATGGGCCGCGTCGCGATAGTCGCCTGGACCTGGCAGGGGTCGCCGTGGTCGGTGGTTTTTTTGCGTTTCACTGGGCCAGAGATGGATGAATGGATTGGCTCAGAATCCTTGCTTCTTCCAACTATGCTGGTTGTTCTGCTGTCTGCTTGTACACATCTTTTGCATGGTCATAGATCGTCTAGGTCTAATCAGGGTCGGACAATTCTTGGGGATTTCCCAACAGGCGTCCGAACTGCGCCTTGTTCTTGGGTAGGAACACTATATTGTGGACAAAGCTTGTTTGTTTCCAAAGGTTGCAAGTATAGTAACCATTCTGGCCACCTTCAAGAGTGCGCTCCAGTTGCTCAAGTTTCACAATCCTTGAGTTGAACATAGTTGAACCTCCCTCGCTGGACTCGCTGCGACTCGCAGTGGACGGGGTGGTACCGCCGCCCAACTCCCAGCTCGCTTGGCAGCCGTCGCCGAACCGGCTTCATTCTTCGGGTTTCGAAGAGTTCCTAAAATGTGTCTTGCACGGTCTACGGCGCCATGGTGGGCCCTTCAAGCATCTCCGCAAGCCGATTTCGGTCGGCTGAAGGAGTGAGCTTCAGCGCAGTTGAGGTTTCTACTCTGGGCCGTTCCACTGCAGTTCACGCGGCAGCCCAGTGGTCCACTTAAGTTGGTGGCAGCATGTGACCCGCGTATAGAAATGGATGGTCTGGATTATCCAGACCAGGCGTTAACAGTCCTTAGGTTCATAGGCGGATCCAAAACAGAACAAAAAGGGATATGACCAGGCTGTTGACAAGGCCTTGAGTTCTTCATCCATCAAAAAGCATCTTATTAGAAGTCAAGCCTTTGGTATTCTGCTCTTGTCTAGATTTTGCTATTCCTACATGCAAAAAAGGCTTCCTAGCCGAGTACCACCTAGGACCTAGGATGACTTTGAGAACCACCCAGTACACCAACCAAACAAAGCCAGCATCTCAACAAAATCAACCACAATGAATCAAACAAACATGTATTATGTATTCCCGGCTAAAGCAAGAAGTTAAGGTTGGATTCCTTGCTCTCGTTCACATGTTTAGGATAAACATATCAACAACATCCCAAAGTCAATTGGTTCCTGATCATCCAAGCAATTATATATTCATCCTTTGAGGTTGGAAGAAGCCCCGTCCAAGTCCATCCCATTTACGGCCGTGCTGATTCCCAAGAAGGAACACTCATGCCCTCTTCAACTGCAAGTGCAGCCCGCCAACCAAAAAGAACACAATCTCTATGTGCAAATCCACAGAGGCTATCGTTTGCCCAGTTGACGTTTCCAAGTCTTAGACTTCTGCCACCCCGCCGCTCGCCCGACACGCGACGCCTGGCGTCCGGCACTCCTCCCGATGCAAAGCGCCAAACTGCGGGCTCCGGAAGACGGGCGACCTGGGCATCGGTGGAACATGCGGCCGAAACATGGAGCTGCTGCAAAGAGAGTGGCCAGTGGGTAACGTGATGGGAGTCCGTGCCATGGGTAGTTCCATGTGTTTGTTGTTTTCCAAGGAATACGCTGCAGGATGGATATAGATGTGGCGCTTGGTTTTCGGATGGATGCGGGGCTTCCAGCACTGAAATCGCTGGTTCTGAGTGGTCCGATGGTTGGTGGACGATCCCTTCATCGGTGCTCCGTCGCTTGCCAGGTCGGGCCAAGATGTAGGCCATGCTGGCCTAAATGAGGATTCCCTCATCTTAGGGCATCGGTAGATAGCAATGCTTCGGAATTCACGATTGAATTAGTGGGATTTAGTGAGTATGGCTATGGAGGTGTCAGGGCCAACAAAACTTGGGAACCTAAAACCATGCATGCCCCTCCCCAAGCTGACCAGTTGCTATGGGCAGTCTGCAATGATTCAACGAGATGCATGCCCTCGAAAGCAGCTAAAACAGGTGTCGTTTGCCGATCGTCGGCGTCTCACTTCATGGGAGTCCAACCGCCTCCTCCAACCGACCCAATGATGCCTCCAAAGCAACTTGAACGCTCATGACAAGTCCAACATCATTGTGGTATGGAACAGAAACCCAGATGAGTCATCATATAAAATGAGGCGTCGTATCACGCCACATGGAAGAGAAACCCAGATTGTACAAGAAAGCTGCCTTTCAATCCCGGTGCGCATGCCACTCCCGTTCTTTGGGCAGCCAATTCCGTGTCACCAGCGGCATTGCAAACGTGGCCCAGTTACATTGAAACATGTTCGTTCACCAACGAAACGTAGAATATTGATTACAAAATCAAAAAAGAAGTCTTACAATCCCACTTTGGGGGAATCTACATTAGGCCTGGCTCCCGCTTGACCTGCAAGTCTTGGCGCCCGAGCGGGCTGCGCCGGTGCTCCAGCATGGCACGCAAGGGCACGTCCAAGTCATAGCAGCCTGGACCTCCGATCAGTCTGGAAAAAATGACAAAGTTTGCAAACAATTACTAGACGACATGACTACATGTGTCGAGTTCGTATACAGCCACCTTCCAGTGCAAATAAGATATTTGAGCGGCATACACCCTGACAACACCAAATACTTTTAATTTAAACTAAAATATTGTTATATATTACTTATATGTTAGAAACCAATCTTACTCTACCACCTGGGCCTGTTCCACTTCTGACAATCTGCCTTCAGATTCCAGCTTCCGCATGAATCCGATGCAAGGCGCGCCAAGTGAACAAGTTCCGCTTCCTATAGGGTGTCCGCGAGCTGAATGATGCAGTGCCGCGCCAACTGCCAAGTCCTCCCGCTCCTCGTCCATGACGCTTGACTGCTCCGCGCGCAGGGATGAACTTGAGACTCTTGCACCTGATGCTGCCTTTGACCCGGCACCTACCGCATTCGACACGGATCCGTCCCTTCAGCTTTCAACCTCGACTACACAACACTGTGCAGACTTCGTGGCAGGCACCATACTTTGTAAACCTCAAAGGTTCGTGACAGCACTTTGTGAAAACCTCGCAACGTAATTTTGCAGCGGCTGCAGCACTCTGAGAACCTCCTAAGCGCAGAATAATGGCAGGCGCAGCAGCACTTTGTGCACATCAAACTGCACAAATGCACTATCATCATGTGTGTGCTCTCAAATGCGTTCTCATACATGTGTTGTTCTCACAAGTGTGCTCTCTTATGGTGCGTCCTCTAAGTTCACCCAGCACTTCCCGTTGCCAACACCGGGCCGCCCCTGCTCCGGTCCCGGTCCCCCACTGAGTTCGCCACCCAGATCTGGACCTGAGACGCAGCACCCGGAGCAGTCGGAGGACGTGGAGAGGTGGAGAACCACCCGTTTGGTATGAGGAGTTCATGGTCATCCAAGGGCCAAGGTTCCACTCACTTCCATCATTTCAGGGAGTGTGTGTTGTTATCAAAAAATATCGTAAAACATGTCAATGCAACCATCGTCCGGTTTTGACAAGTCCAGCCAAGTCGTGCCAAAAGTCGGGAAATCGATGTCACACGGAGTCATATACAGTGTATGTATAATCATGCACAGACCCACGATGATGGCCTGTCAGTAATTTTGCACAGAATCCCTCAGTGACAGCACAGCTGGTCCCTCTGCCCTCCCAATGAGCTAGGTATTTGTTGAATCTGATCTTCGGTTGTGCATGTTTTGCACACAAACCTTCCTGATGTTCCTGGATCTGCACAAATCAACGAAACTAACCGTTGGGTGGAACCAACATCATCCCATTCAAATAGGACGGACTGTCTGGAAAATTGTAACTTGTCTGGGTTTTCATTGCCAAAGGGTATCGGGTAAAACTCAAATACATATCATAAAAGTGTATCGTCTGCCAAAGGGATTCAAATGGTATCGTTGACCAAAACATGTTTCAACAGGGTGTCTTTTTCGTGAATGCGGGATGCCTTTTTTCGTGAATGTTACTCTTCTATCCACTCAAAAATCATCAAAATCACCGACCGCACTGGCTTTGATCCACGACACGCACCGAGCGTCCGTCGTCCAACGTCCCTGGGCCTCCCTCACTGCCGCCGCGCGCGGCAGCCGGCTGCCGCGCCGAGCGGGCGCCAAACGGCGCCTGCCCCGGTGGCGGCTTCAGCCAAAAAAAACGGTGGTCCACAGAGCTTCAACGGTGGTCGAAGTGTCAAAAACTGTCATGTTTAAGTTAATTTAAATGCTTTTGCTATAGACGTCTCAGCTCGCATGCAGAAGTTTTGTTGTTGCTAAACCCAACAACTTAATTATCGGCACTGCTGGTCTTTCAAAGCAGCAAAAGACGAAGACCAAAAGCTGCTGGCTCAATGCTCAGCCGATGAAGTTTTAAACTAGAGTCCGAAGTAGCTAGCAGCTAGATGTACGGCGAGCTAGGTCTTCATAGTCATGCCGACAAGAACACGGACAGTGACAAGGCTTGGGACTGCTCCCTTCCTTAACTGGCGCTGCCTCCACAATCTATTCTACGCTCCACCGCAAAGACTCCAGAGACTCCAGAGATTTCTGAACAGCGGCTTCCAATGTGACCTGTAATTTGACACTGCCCGCGTGGCTTGAGGCAACTTGAAGCTCTCCCATAACAGCTGCAGCAGAGTCAAAGATATGCACAGCACCTAGTGCCGACCCTTCGTAGGATTCACCCTGCACAATTTCAAGGCCAGCACATGTATCCGGGCAGTCAGGACTGTCGCCAAGGGTGCAGCCATCAGAATTGAAGTCTTCACCTTGCCTGCCCTGGCTCCCTTGCGACTCACTGAGCCACGATACACTGAGAGGACCACTTCCTCGCCATCCGGGCGCATAGCCAACACCTGCAGCCTTTTTGTGTGCCTCATCTCGCCATCGGTAGCGGCTTTTACCGTCCCCTAGCTACCCACCTTGACCTACGGACATGCAAAAAGCGAGGGGCGAGGTGCAAAACCTTGCCTATTAGATCCATTATTTCCATGACACACCATGACACCAAATCCTGAGAGTATCATCTTTCGATCTCTGCTGAATTTCACCCCAAACAGTGCCAAAGGCATGACCAAAAGAAAGTTCCATTGTAATGAAAAACGGCGAATTATACCCGAATTGTGCTATGTTTCAACTATCTTCACAAAACTAAAAAAACAAATACTGCTGCGTTCCTAAATATAACCATAGAAGCGCTTCACGAACTGACAGAATTTGGGACTAATCAAGAAATCAGTTCAGCCGGCTAATTCCAGACAGGATGTCCAATAGTCAGGCACGTCAACGATAGCTGGGCTTAACCATGCTCAACCTACCTCTGTGAGTATCACAAACCCAGGTTGCTCAGTCCTGGGGCAGGTACTGATATGTATAGTTCATAGGATTTAGGGTGCTTGTCCTTCCCTTCAGAGCACGTATCTTTTTGGAGTTCCAAAGTACCTCCATGGCCCATGGCCTGATGTTGCCATCCTACCTTCAGGGCCATTTCGAAGTGATGTTTGTGGAGGCTTGCTGTTTGCAGCAAACCTACGCAGAGCGACTTTCTGTCACGAGCCCGTGACATGTTGGACCTTTGAGAGAGACCTTTCCCTCTTTTTCATTTTTTTTCTAGAACATAAACTTGGAGATATTTAAAGTTTGTCCATATACTAATGAATTCAATATGAGGACCATTACACCGAAGTTTGACAACCAATAAGTGTTCTAATATGTTCTAATATTACAAGGAACGCATCAATATTCTTATCGCCAAGATATTAACACGTGCTGCAATGCAGCGAGACCCAAATGAGGCAGCATCAGCCAAGCAGGCATTGCCACGGACACGTCAGGCGACGCAAATCCAGCGAGCTGAGCAGCATCACAAGAAGCACAACTCCGATGCTAAGAAGCACAAGATCTTGAAGGGTGCTGGATGACATTGTAAAGGATGAATGTGGACTGGAAAAATGGTGACTTCAGGAACATGACAACCAGAAATCTTGAGACACAAATGGCCTCTATAGGGTATCTGAAAAGAACCATGTGGGCACACTTGAGGCAACCGTGTTGATCTTTTACGCCTGCGAGAACCGAAGGAAACGGTGTTTCTACACCTACAGTCCTACAGTAGCTGTGAGTTGCGTTTTGCTTGGGGAAGAGCCCTCAAATACCCTGAAAAACCTTAAACGGTCGTTGAAACAAAATAAACCAACAATAACAAATGTGAAAGTAAGAAAACCTCAGTGTGATATCTTAATTTCTGTCAACATGGTGAGTCAAGGACACCCTAAGGTGTGTAGTTGACACCCTAAGATGTGTGTAGTTTACACGGTAGACCCCAGGGGAATCTGTCGGACTGAACTCTTCAGCAAACCCTGAGCCTTGATCGGTACTACGGACCCAGCCTGCATGCCCGTGTGCGCTGGACGCCTGATCCATAGGCTCATGCGTGTGAGTGAGTCTGTACAGGTCGAGGAAAAGATGGGAGAGCATGAGAGCATGACCATTCTTTTTGGACGTGACTGTTGATGATCCACAGCGTATCATACGCAGCAAAGGTGGAGTTTCGATGACTTAAGCGTTGATCTCGAAAACCACATGCGTTTACTCAAGTTGCGCAAATAGATTTCATGATTGGTCTCACTTGTGGAGGTCTGTACGGAGGATCCCAGAATCTGGAGACCGACCAGGGAGTCTGCTGGCAAACTTAAAACAAAAAACAAGCTGTCCTGCATTGTCGTACGGCAAGCTACTAACGAAACACAAACGAAAAAATAAAAATAAAAAAACGTACAACACTATATACAGCATGGTCGTTACGCTAGCTGTCAAACATCCTGCAAACAAATCATTGTTAAGCTGCATGGCTCCGGATGGGCTCCAAAAGGATGAGCCTTGGCAGCGTGGTTTTCCATGATGTGCGAAAAAGGAGCTTCAAAAGCATAGTGGTGCATGACTGATTTTAAGACATGATCTGAATTGATTTGACAATGATGTTCTCGGGTGGAATGGCAGAAGCACATTGCGAAGCTCGGGTGTTCTCTACTCCCAACTGCATCGCACCCTACCAGGCACTGCCCAGCTCAATCTAAACTTTCTGCAGGGGGCTGCTGATCCTCAAGAAATCATGATGCATCGTACAGTTGTTTGGTTTCAGGACGCGATGGAGGAGGCCCCTTTCCCATCCCAGTCCAAAGGCGACGACACAGGGCTGTCCGCACTCATCGAAGGGTGAAGACGGAATAAAATCGGCTGGGCTTGGGCCTCACCGGAGGGAAGGGGCGGTGGAGACTCTTACAGACCCACAAACCTTGTGAGAAGGTGGGACAGCAAAGTCCTTGTTTCTTGATGGATTTCGAGGGTCCAGCTGTCTTCTCGAAGGTGTAGATCTATATTTGGATGGTTACCATCTCCCACAAGTTGTGGAAACTTGCAAGATCTGTTCTTCTTGGTTTTCAAGCGAAATTGTGGGCTGTACAAAAAAAGTTCTTTTGGGTCCTGGGTCTTCACTCCACTTAGGAATCGTTCCTATATGAAGGAGTGAGGCATGACATGTCTCTCAAAGTGCCTCACTTTCACGTGTTTGTTCGGTCCAATGTCTATGTTCTGTTTATTTTCGTATGTCACACACACGCATCAACTGCTGAGGTAATCGTCACTTGTGGCATGTGGGGTATCGGCAACTCAACTTTCATGCCTTGCTACCAACCGACCCTAACGTCAATCTATAATTAATTGTTGCCGGGAATCTTCATTCAAGCTCCGTGCTGGCCAATGCACTCAGATCCACAAAACATACTGCTGGCGCAGGTGTGATCTCCGTGATGCTTGCGACGTGTGCAGCCAGCGATGCGCCCTGCGCCAAAAATCGACCCAAGGCGAAGCGGCATGAAGCTGAGGCCAACGAGGATACCGCACATGACCGAAGTCTTGATCAACCCAGATCACATCTACAAAGCTCATGCCTGCTGTCCTGATCGCAGTGGAAAATGATTCACGCCATGCTGCCATGCTTCTCCATTTGGTCGAAGTGTTCTGGGAACAGGTGCGAGCCCAGTGGTCCACCTGGTCGCACTTCCGACACGCAAACGCTGTTGGTGCTCGCTGATCTCTTGGGTGAACTTCTTGCGACATTGCGGACGGTGTTCACTTAACACTTCTTGCAAATCATTCAGCTCCTTCGCAAGAAGAACATGCCGCAGATCGGCCAGGACGCTGTCGTTGCTTCCACAACCGAATCGGCAGATCATCCAGTTCCGTCATGGCTCGGATGCCTCAGACTGCTGATGAAATCGGAGCCTCCCTCGGATTAGCCCCGTTTCCTGCATGCGCCGAGTCAGGCCATTGACACTGAGGGTGATGGCAGTCATCACCCCGGTCACACGGCTTTCTGCACCTCGGAAGCGGTGGTCTCCCAAGGTCTGCATGGGCCCTGATGCAGCATCGCATGCATTAAATTACAGGTATACAGGTTCGGAATAAAGAACAACTCTGACGCAAAAACAATGGGACTGCAAGGCCATTCCGTAAACGTACACTTCACGGTTGACCCAAAAACAAGCACCCCCAGGGCCCCCAGGGACTTGAGATCTCATATGAGGTCATTCCACTCCTGGTGGGGCTGGTAAGGTATGGAGGGTCTTGACTCATCAGTCTACTGGATATTCCAATGAAGCGGCTGTTCTTCGCACAGCGCAGCGGCTTTTTCGGTGGGCGGCGCAGGCAAGAAAGGGGCAGAAGTCTGTAGCCATTGTGGGACCCATCGGAAGCAACAAAGCAGCACATCAATCGACATCAATTGTATACCAGGGCCCACAAGGGGTAGTTGATGGAGACCCCTCAACCTCCTTTTGGGGTTATAGACACCCCAAACGGGAGGCCCTGGTATGTATTAGAAATTGATCATTCTTATCACTCCTTTCCAAAGGGTTGGCTTTTGCCCCACCACTGCTTGGGACGGTCGCTGCCAGGCCTGGTTGCTCCTCACGTTGAAAAACGCTGGATCGCGCAGTGCCTGAAAATAGCTAAGCTGGCAATTTCCGAGAAACGAGGAAGGCACCGCACAGAATCTCACGGACACTTTGAGGAAGTCTTACACCTGACTTCCCATTGTACATCATTATCATTGTACTATCGGCCGAAAATAAGATATGAAGGTTTCAGGTGAACTTCACAGAGTGCTGTCGGTAGGGTTAGGGGGGTTTACTCTGGAAAGTAGAGGCTGGATCCCTTCCACATGCTTTCAACCGCCAAGTTACAAGGCTGCTAACACCAGGGCTCCTGTCATTCTCACCAACCAAGTCCAAGGCCTTATGCTTGCGAAAGACTAAATGAATACCTGACCTCTGGACCCTCCAAGATCCTTTTGGGCACCAAATGTCATCATCGGTAGAACGTTGGAAACATGTTATTTTAATCAAAAGCAGCAGCAAATTGCATTAAGAACTCCGGGTGCGGGTTCCTGGTGCCCAACAAGAACCACCAACATGTTGAACAAAAACATCACAAGTATCAATCCCCATCAATCACACCCTGTTCCGTTGTACTTGGACTTGTCTGTCCGGTCGGCGAAGTCGCCGGCTCGCTCGCTCAGGCGAACCGGTTGACCCCGTGGCGAACCGGGTGCGGCACCTGAAGCAAAAGCGGAGCTGGGAGGCACCACCTTGCCCATCGGTCTGGGCCTGCGCAGGCGCCGCACGGCGTTCGTTCTGGCTGAAGAAGGTCACGTCACGTCGGACGCGTCAGTCACGTGCGGAACACTGTCCGAAGTGTGGCCGAGATCAGCCGCGATAGATCAGCCGAGATCCCAGGACCTTCAAAGTAACCAGAATAGGATCCCAGAATGAGGTCACTTCATCCCTAAAGAGGTCACAACGTAGTCCCATAAAAGGTGACTTTGAAGGTCCTGGAAGATTGTTCAATCAAGTCTAGGCATGCCGGTCCAACGATGTGTCCCTGCTAGTCAAGCGATGTTATGCTATTCCCAGTAGGTGAATTCACTTGCTCGACCGCATCAAATTTTGCACGTCTTTACCAACCGGCCCGAAGATGTTCTGAAAATCTCGACCACCCTAGCTGGATGTGGTAAGAGGCATGAGGAAAGGGGATAATGATTTGGGTTCATCATGGTTAATCTATTTGGGTGTGTAATTCTGTTCATAGGGAGCCCAATGGAAACATGTCGGCAAGTATCCCACGATTTTGGCACAGGAAGTAGGTGCTTTAACGATCACTGACTCCCTCAGTGGTCGGAGGGAACATATCAAAACGGACTTGACCACCGCCGAAGGTCGAAGACTCAGATCTTCTGGCTTTGAACTGCTTCGACCCGCGGCGCCTGTCCTCTGCGTCTTCTCTACTTGACCCGCGACGGTCACGGCACCATGCCGTGAAGTTCCACGACTGGAATGACTCTTCCAATGCCGCCCAGTTCTTTTTCCCCGGGCGTCCAAATCACCTGTGTTCTTTTCCCGGAGTCGGCGCAAGTCTTGACTTGGCAGAAGGTGAGCATCGATGAGAAAAAACGCCCTTCACCAAGGAAGGTTGGTGTTCAGGTGGAGCTGAGTCTTTCTACAGGAAGGATGGACCATGTGTGGGAAGACTAAGCAGGTTTATCCAAACTGGTTGTGGTCCTCAAAGAGATAGAAACGGATAGAAACGGTGTCCCATACATATTTTTAGGTCGGGATCTACTTATCAATCTATTTGGGGTCTATATACACCTTTGGGGTCTTATCAATCTTTTTTGCCAAATGAAGACTAATCAGGACTATGTCGGTCTATCTCGGTCTATCTCATGACGTGGGATGCTTTTCATGCTAGAAACACACTTTGCCAAGCTTGAACCACCCTGGTGCTTTCAGCTCCTGACCCGGCCTTTTGGAGGGCATGTCCTTCGAATGAGTCCCAATCCAAATGACCTGAAGAAACAAAATGCTCCGTCGATCGGCGGAACGTGTTGATCCAGGAAATGATCATGGAATTGACACAACTCCACCAAGGTGTCTGGTTGAAGAACGAGGCCATTCTGAACATGACCAAGAGTTCAGGTGACTCGTCTCTGGACTCACAGCTTCTGGAAGAAACCAAAGAATAAAAACTGGAAGACGGAAATGCAACTGTCTGGAAAACGCACAGATTTTACGTGTTGCAGGTTGCAGTCATTGACCACGAATCCAAGGCGCTCAAGGGCAACATGGCATGGCACGTACTTGATGCTCAGGTATTGGAAGTCTACGGAAGTCTCGTGTGTTCTACGATTCACTGGACATTCTCCACACTCCCCCGCTGGCTGCCAAATGCCTGTGTGAAAGACACATCCAGAAAAGGATGCGAATTGGGTCCTACGAGGGCTGCTCCCGTTTTCCGAGCGTTCTCAGTCGCCTCATGCTGCCTCATGTCACCATGACTCCCCTTGGGGGCGAGTCGTCCGCCTGCCCCCAGTCCTCGGATAGATAAAAACCGACCCCTCTGCCCCAATAGGACCGTCCCAAAACATAAACGACCATCGAACAATCAAATATAGTATAAAATATATCATATTAAATAATAGGACCTAATAGGAATTGACTTAGTAATAACAAACAAAAACTGATGTGCCTAGGTCGCCCGACCCCGGGCACTCCACCGCTTCCCGCCACTCCACAGGGCGCCTCGTCCACACGCGAGGAGGATGGGATCGAGTCCCCATGGGACATCAGTAGACCTGAACGAAAGCTAGTGGCCAGTCTTGGACTCTTCGCTGAAAAGGCACATCGAAGAGAAAACGTGGGTAACTGAGAAACTGATATGTATATGCCGCAATATGCCTATAATCTTTATACGTGAGGTATCGTGAGCTTATATATATATAGTTTAAGTGCTTTTAACTACAAATGCGTGGTGCTAAATCATGCTTGGGCTTTCTGAGCCGCTCTTCATGCTGCTCTACTTGCAAGGCACACATGAGGGATTTACAGGGATATACAGCTAGTTTGGTTGAACATGGTTGAACTTATTGGCTAGCGACGCCCTTAAGAAACCTCACAATATATAGGATAAACTAGAACTGTTGCTGGCTTGCCACATTGTGAGGCAACACATATAGGGATTCCAGTTTTCCTTGAATTCACCCAAAAGCACTGCTCTTGCCGGCAAGCCAGGTGCCCATTTGAATCACCCCAGACTGGTCTTTGCCTTCAACGTTCATCCGCCTGTCCCGGCGGCTCCCGCGGACGTCGTTTCCCACGAAAGGCTGAGCAGCTCTTCATGCGCTTCCGCGAGGCCAAGCGCTGCTCCTCCACGCTCCGTCCACCTTGCTGCAGAAGCTGCGGGCTTGGCCGGGTTCGCGAGGCCAAGCCGTGGCCCAGGGGGTGAGATGGATGTGGTTAGGAACAACAAAACAAATCAATGTCATTGAATTTATCTCTTATTGATGGCTATATGTAATGTAAAGAATAACCTGCTAGATTCAGGTTGTTTTCCAATAAGAAACTCTCAAAAATAACTGAAATTTGCAATGGTGTTGCTTCCACTTCCACCTGATGAGTAATAACAAACCATCACAATGATGGATGAAGAAGGGTTCTGTGGGTGTTTGACAGCAACACAGGATGAGCGAGTTCAGCCTCCAACAGTAACGCAATGGCTGCTCCAACAATAAGGCCACGGACCAGCAAATCCGATGTCTGTCAAAAGTCTACTGTCTACGGGTGTCATGGAGTACTTTGTTCCACTTCTACTTGCATTGTGTTGATGGGGCCACTTCTACTAGGGAAAGCCATGAGGCAAGCATGGTAGTCCATTTACGACCCCAGTTAAAGAATAACTATAGTATAGTTATAATTTTGTTCTGGTGAAATACACTTCAAAAGCAAAGCACATCAACCTTCTGGGGGGCATCCATTCAGCTTGTCCAGACGCCGGAAGGCGACAAAGTCGATCGCCGGTGAACTAGCACCGGTGCTGCTCCTTTGTACACAGATCGGGTCAGTCCTATTCAGAGCTCTTTCTAAGCCATGGACAAATCAGCCGTCTGCAGAAGGCCTGGCAGCCCAAACACGGTGCAGTTGCACCGGTTGTGAGGTCATCATGTGGTGAGTGCAGCATTCACCATGGCATGGCCCTAAAACGAACACATATATATAAATTAATCCGATTTAAATTTGGACCTCATGCCCACACATCTGCATTGAGCTTGCTTGCATGCAAAGGTAAAATTGGTAGGAATCACTTTGACTCAATGAATGTTGTTTGAAGAAACAACATTCGTTGTGTGGACGAAACAAGACCGGTCATACAAGGCCGGGCGCCTGTCAAACACATACAGTAACTGTTGACTGACTCCCGAGCCATCTCCCTGGAAAATCATGGTTAACCTTCTTCCATCTGTTTGTCCGAAGGGACTTCGTTCCGTGCCCCTGCCTCGTGCTTGCCACCCACGCAGTATTCGTGCATTTGAAAGCTTCCGCAAAGCGTATCAAGGATCTTCCGAAGTAAACCTGACTCCCTCAGTTTCACTTGGAAAATAAAGGAACCTATGTCCACACTTGTTTTTGTTAAGTGGGGAAACCAATCCTCCAAAAAAGGTTCTATTTATATTATAAAGGTTATCCACTTTTTCCGAGGTTACCCGAAGCCATCTCGCACAGCCTGAGAGGTCACGCACAGCTCCACCTTCTCCTGGTGGCCCCGCGCCGCCGGCTTTACCACGGCTGTCATTATGGCATTGTCGGCGCTTTGCCATGGTGTTCCCACCAAAAAAATACCTGAAGATGAAGATACCTGAAGTCCCAAGCAGCACCACCCAAAGGATCCCAAGCAGCATATTTTACAGACCCCCCTGGAGATGCATGTTCCATCCAATCACCACCCGACCTGGGTGGTGCTGGAAAATCTGAAAAAGGCAATTGTTTCTCAGTCAAGAGCGGAGAATGCCAACCCTTTGGTGCAGTGATTTTCCAACAGCAGCCTAAGAAAGACGCGAGCATACCAAATTGAACACTCAACACACAATATATACAAAAAGCACAATTTGTTTAAAGACATCTTGAAGTGTTTCTCGTAGTGTTTACGTTTAGTTGTTAACTCGCCTCTAGCTTCCGCAAATCCAGTATGAGATTTGAAGTCCCAAAGTCCCATTCTGCCACGTCCATCCGCAACCACGAGGAGTATACAAATGAAACATAATGAAACACAGTAGACTGTAGACTTGATAAATAAGACGACCTAACAAACACCACCGATTAAAAACAACATAAACATAAAATAGGAAATCAACTTTGCAAGACTAGTGTCGCTGAGGAACGTTGTCGTTTCCTTGACATTTTCCAGTCTATTCTTTGCAACTGCACCATCACTGGTATTTCAACCAAGCAAACTGACCTGCAAAGCATTTCGATGGTGTTCAACATATATAACAAACGTCTCTTGCCTACGCCGACCTACCCCGATCTGCTCATCTCGTCACAAGAGCACCCGTCACTCGTCCTCCTCCTTCACTCGTCTCCGCGGATGTGCCAGGTGCACAAATCGAGGGCGATTTGGCCCGGCGCGACTGGAGCGCCTTGAGCGATCGGAGTGAGATGAACAACACGTGTTCGGGACTTAAAGCGTGACCAAACAGTCTCGGACTTTGCATACCCGATTCGGGTGAATGAACTTGGGTGAAACCCATTTCGCTGGAGGATGTATATATCCTTTCTCAACCAGGAGCTCCTGCTCTGCCAAGTTCTCAGTGGCTCTTGACTCTTGCCATTCTCAGAGCGGGGTGGGGGTTGTTCCCACCAGCCCCCCCCCGATTTGTTTTCTTCCGGTCCTTGGGTCTATTGGAATCAATGCTTGGTCAGGGCAGGTTCGGTTTCCTCAGCTCCAAATATCATTTGGAACTGGGAAAAACATACTTTCTGGAGCTGCTTGGAGCCAGCGTTTGGATGGCTGTTTTGCGGCCCAAGAATACAAACTAATGAAAGCATACACTTTTTGGCGCTGGTGAGGGATCACACCTGATCTTTCCTGTCCCTGAACATCATGGAAAGCGCGCAGCTTTCCGTCTACCTCTTCATGTTGAGTAGGAAACACAGGACACAAATCAATCTGAACATCGCACATATGCACATCTGATGTGAACGAGAGGCGCTGGCGACCTCACCAAACCGATTCAAGATCCTCGGACCGAACCCCTCTCCCTTTGCAGTGCTTTCCTGGAGGAGTGTGGTGGCACCACGTCGTATTGTCCAGGGCCCGGCACCTTCACAGGGAGAGGTGTCGAGGTGTCGACCGTGAAAGAGCAGGAATTGATCATCTGAAAATCTTTGCAAGCGAAGTTTTCCATCGTTTTCCACAAAGAAACTCCAGTCCTACCGTTCCAAACAGGTAACGGTTAGTAACGGTTACCACGTCTCTCGGGTCGACCCGGTCCTTCAGAACCGAAGCGGTCAGACCGGTTGAAACCGACGCTCCTGGGGTCGGGGATCCCGAAGGACGGGGCCAAGGGCCGGGGGATTCCCCCAAGTCCCCACTCCAAGGCGTGTGAATGGAACAGTAAAAGAAACGATACCTCCAACATGAGCCTGTCATTCCAATATGCATTTCCGAAAGAGGGGCGAGATGCTTTAAGAAGCATCCCAGCAACATAAGAAGCATCGCTAGCAGCACTGTTGCTTTACAAAGCGTCCCCGAGTAGATGGTTGATTTTACAATTTACAGGATTGTGCAGCTATGATTAATCCCCCCCAGAATCCTAGAATGTGACATTTGGCTGAAATTTTATCAATTGGGCGTTACATCATGAGGAAAGACCCCACACACACACACACACAAAATCCCTTCATGTCTTCATGAAAAGGGATCCCAACACTAGAGTGTGGCATCCACTTGAAAAGACACATGGAGAAGCTCATGATAGGATGGAAAGTATAATTGTGGTAGATGATTAGACAACTGACTATGCAAACTTGGAGGTCATTGACCATGAGGTGGAGTATTGTGACCATATCAAAAGCATTGTGGGGAATGAGGACCAAATGTTGGGGGATCAGTTAGTCGACATGTAACAGTCGACATGTATATATAGCTATACGGTTGAATCCAAGAAGACGTATGAGATGATCAACTCCTGTTTTGAACATCGCGGGTCTAGAGGCCCTGTTGGACAAACTTTTGGAAGAAGATGGAAGAAGCAAGTAGACATCATGATTCGCAACATGGCCCATTGGCATAAAATAGGTCACTGGTGACATTCTCCTGCTCAGACCAGGGCCTTTTGGGAACATACCTAACCTGTCCTCAGATCTCCTGCTAAGCCCCTTTTAACCCTTAAGTTTTATAAGTGTTTAATGACATGAAGGACGGTCCAAAGATAGTTGGCCATCCAGTTCACATACCACGCTCCATTTTCCTGATGACAATCCCAAGTTGCAATCCGGACAAATGAGTGTAATGTAGTCACCCATGTTAGTCACCCTCGCACAAGACTCGAGCACGGGATCATGCATCTCGCCATGCACGGGATCTGCGGTAGCATCCACCAATCAACCTTCTGGCCCGTAGCATGACCAAAAAAGGGAACGAAAGCTGGCAGAGTCTGGGCCGGAACTTGATGGGATCTCCCTTGTGTGCACTTTTGGTCGCTGGGGTGATTCGTAGCTCGCAGCTCAAAAAAATCATCGTCTGCAAAAAACAGCCACAGAGTTGGAGGAAGCTGGATGGGTGGAAACCCGTTTGAAATAATCAATCCCTGACTCTTCAGTCCAATCCCACCCTCGACCCAAGGTCTGCCTGGCTCTTGGATCTCAAGCCCTCCAAGCGATGTAGCCCAGACCTAGAACCGGGCGGATGAAACCGTGGACAAACGATACAACGAAAAATGCTAGCCTCGAGCTGTAGTGACTACATCTGCCTACTCAGGTGGTGCATTGTTTCACTATTTCTATATATATTTCTTTTTCCAGGTGTTTGCCAATCATTTATATAAATGCAGGGCTTCAGAATCAATGACTGCAGCACAATTCGATCATTGATGACAGGCAGACTCGGACGGCTGGTGATATCTGCTCAGTCCAACTGACAATTAACCAAGTAACAACTACTTGGCAAATGTACTACAGCTGGCGCATGCTGGTGCGCACCCCGAACCAATCATATCTATCATGACACATCACGACAATTGTGAGGATGCTTGGACAAGAGATTTGTGAAACCACAAAACTCTGGTAGTCTAGCTGGGTCTTAAATGGAAAGGGTTTGAGGGTGTATCCGTTCTCCTGCCTGGTCCAAAGACTGTCTGAATAAAACAAAAGACACTGACCCCTGACACAATCAGCACCCTGACCCACTTTGGACTCTCATCCCAGAGAAAGTCCGTGGCGGAACCGCGCTGAACCGCCATCTGTGCGTTGCGCCCAGAGATCCATTCCCGCCTGAAGCTGGGATCCCCGAGGCTCACGGAGCGATCCTGGCGATCGGAACAACAGCAGAGCGAGCGGAGGGCAGGCAAAGGATGAACCCGGCAGATGTTCCTTTTTTGGGGTGGGGGCTTGAAAGAAATAGAAAGAAATGTACCCATATATGTAGTCCCAGCATGTACCAGGTGTCTTGGTCCAGGTAGATGAAAGCTGAACGCTGGGAGCATGCAAGTATAACATAGTAGAACTAACCGGTAGAGCTGAAAGGGTCTGGGTTCCAAATGTCTAGGAACAGGCTTCGCTGGTTGGAAGTCGTTCGGACCTGTGCTGAATAGAGTGCGATATGAGAGTTCGGACCATCGATTGAACCCCTCCTTCATGAAGATCTTCATGGTTGATGCCCATGATCCCAATCTGAGGTCAAATCGGGGAAGTACCATGAGGATGCTGGTGATGCAACAGCAATCGATCCGACTGCTTCAGCACATGCGTTCCCGGCGTTCCTGGTACGTACAATGTTTGGTACCTCACATCGACACACATCGACCACGACGCAACATGACGTCACCAGTCTACCTCCGGACCTCTGGACCTTCTACAGCTGACCGGTGGACCGGTTGGGGTCTCTTCAGTCCAAGCTTCGCCCACTCCGATCAACGGAGACGGACCCCCTTGGGGCCAAACGCCGGATCGACGGGCCACGCGGTCCCAAAACACGGATGCATACGGTTCCTGGGCCACGCTTCCTGATTACTAACTGGTGCGACGAAAGTAGGGAATGAGGGAATGAAGCTCCGCTATAGATTCCTTTAAATCCATTCCCTTCATTGCTATGCACCAGTCAGACAGTAGGGGTGGAAGCAAAGGGGTCTATTGTCAATGGGATACTCAGGAGTGCTCCTATGGATTGGTGCGGGAGACGGTCTTGTTGTTTTGCAGAGATGAAGTGGGACGTTTGACATCGCTTTTTCCAACGTCTTGGCTGATTTTTTGGGGCATCCAACCTGGCTGTCAAAGCGATGTTCGGGTCAAGACAGGCCTTCTGCAGCACCTGAAGCGTGCGGACACACGAGTGCAAACGAACGTGGCTCCTGGCCATACTACTAGTAACAAGTAACTATACTAGTTAACAAGAATGCAAAACCATTACAACACTTAGTCAAATGCAACACAGCTTGAGAAGACCACACTGGGAGTGTGGCGTTGCTTCATTAGCAGTGCTGGCTTCTTTGATGGCCAGATCAGTTCATCCCTCTGCACAAGAACCCGCCACTTGTTAAGAGGACGACCCCTTAACTTCCGCCTGGGCAAACCCAGCGAAAAGACCAAACGCATGGATGAACTCGATCAACCTCATGGACCCAAGCTATGGGGGAACGACTCGGTTTTTTTGGTCCATGCCGATGTCTGCCCGGGAAATTGTTTCTCGCCCGGTCAGGATCTGAAAGAAACCTCGTGAGTGGATTGAACAGAAGACACTTCTCTCCTTGCGGGTCCTCTTGCTGTTTGATGGACACTCTCAAATATCACAGAGCTAAAGACACATGTTACTAAAGAACAAGACACATGCCCCGATTCCCTTTGCGTCACCGTCTCCACTTGGAGGAAAGGACGTACAGGAAGGTGGACCCAAAAAGCATGATGTCTGAGAAGGTGGACCAACCCTATTGCATCTCATCCCTTTTGCATCCCACTACCTGTGCCATCTATAGGGTGCCCTCTCCACCACGTGTCTTCACCGGGCAAATCCCACCCGTGTCTTCACGCCTCATAATGGGCAGGGCCAGGGGTCCGGTAGAGCTCCTGAGGTCCGGGGCAAACGTCGACCGTGAGACAGGATTGGCACTCAAACCGTTTCCATGGATTGATTTGAAGCGTGTATGACCCAAACACTCCATGTAATCCATGTATGCCATATATGCCTACACTGGGGTGGTTTGAGGGGTCAATGTAGGCATATACGGCATACATGGAGTGTCTGGGTGAGAATAGGGAGAGCGGCCCGACCCCCCAGGTTTGACCCGGCCTGGGAATACCCAAAAACAAACGGAATCCATGATTGGTTGGAAGGTAATCCATTGGTGCCGTTGGTCAAGCCCAATCCCGGCACAGCCTTGGTGACTTCGGGACGACGTCGATGAACGTTGAGCCATTTTCGACACATTTGCATTGACGACAAGCTTCTTTAACTGGGAATGGCAAGGGGTTGACACAACAATGGCTGCGAACGAGAGGACCTCGGACTGTGTGAAAACACAGGATGTTGGAATCTAAGACGCTGGGTCACCCCCCTGCACGTTTCGCTTGGTACCCTCCGTCTTTCCTCTTTTTCCGCCCTGGGCCCTGCCGCAAGCATGGAAGTCGACTCTGACTGAGGCAGGACTGGGAATGTGCTGCGCGGGCGGCGGAATCAAACCTCTGGCCCCACAAATATTGTCTTGTGACTCTCCTTGTGCATCTTGGAAGATGGGTGCAGGATGGTACAGTACTTGAACCCTTTGAGATCCTTGTCCTCTTGCATTGTCGTGTCAACACTAGAGACTTATAGAAGAGTCTGAGTGCAGTTACGTAAATTTTTGGAGGTCCATGTATACCCCCATTCGCACAACATGCCGTGCTCGGGCCATTGGTGTTTGATCCATCGCCTACGTAGGTACGTAGGTCACACGAGGCCTACTCCCGTTGCAAACGCAAGTGGCACCCCCAAACCATTGAGCTTGTGTCATGCGTCCAAGTTCTATGCATGAGTTAGGCAACATGCCTGGAATCACATTACAAACTAAGTAGATCGACGTATAATGTATATACTAATGATTACTTGTATAATATATGATGTTTTTTTCTGCGTACATCTTCTGATTATAGTTTGTTTGGGTGGGTGCAACCTGTCACTTTTGGGAGTAGAATTCTTTCCAGAACTCCTTGAGCTGCTCTTCCACCTTGCTGCTGTCACCGCCGCTCTTCGCATCGCCCCAGGTCCAAAGAGATCCATCGCTGCGCAGCGCTGCAAAGGCCCCGTCGGTGCAACCCAGCAGCTGGATATCGTGAAGCCTGTCTCATCGGGAGTGTATATCTACAGGGGAAGTGACGTGTCTCCAGACACACCACCGCGAAGCCTGGAAGTGGTGTCCGGCCTGGCCTTCATTTTTGGAGGACCCAATCACCGAATATTTGGAGGGGAAGGCAGGTTGCGTTTGGGGACCTGAAACGCGTGGTTCATCCTGAAGGTCGTCCTCAGGAGTATGCAGACTCCAAACAAGGATCCAAACACATGTCCAATCAAATCTAGATATTGGTAAAACGTATCATGCACAAATCAACGTGGCATTGATTTACAAACTATGCCAAGGGCCAAGGGCAAGATCCGTGATTGAACAAAAACAATGGGACAATATGGCCTACAAAAGCGATGCTGCAAAAGGATGCAATTGTCCATGTTTCTGCTCCCCTGCTATTGCTATGACTGTGAATGTAAATGTGAAACTATTGGGGCAAAGCCTCAACTGAACGCGGCTCAAAACCATCTCGAACAGCAAGGACTCGTGGGAGCAAGGTGGGGAGTAGGCCCAACACCATGCAGCTTGACCTTCCAGTTAGGTCAACCAAGGTGTCTTGGTTTTGACCAGTTTTGACCCACAGCCAGGTCAGTAGGTCGCCCCCAGCAAGGACCTTCACTAAAAGAGTGGCCCTGTTCCACCATGGATCCATCACCCCAAATTGTGCGGTGCGCAACTGCGCCAACTGCTCCCCGGTCGTGACGAAGCCACCCATCCCCGTCTTGCTGGAACTCCAGAACAAACCAAAGCATGAGGACGAAGCCACCAGGTGTTCCTCTCACCCAGCTTCATGCCACCAACCCGCTCCAAAACCGCCCCACTACCATCATTACGCGGGGCACGCACCTGACATGCCCACTTTCGCACTCTCTCGCCCAAGGCGCTGGTCCAGCACTTGCTCAGGATTCCCACCATATTTCTGGTCGCCCCAGGCATAGACCCTGCCATCCTCCAGCAGGGCAGCCAAGCCGCCCATGCGCGTGGTGCAAAGCCTGAGAGTGTGGAGGTCGACCGGAACCAGGAGCTGTTGGAGCTCCCGGACAGGCTCTGGAACACAGCCAGAAACAGATTTGACTGTCCAGGAACCGGAGAAAAAGAAGACATATGAAGAAAAATACTCCTCGGAGTCGGGGATTCACCTAGAGGCAACATCAGAATCACCTGAAGCAAAACCATATCCTCCACATGCACTTGTAACAGCTCTACTCCACCCGGGGGGCACCTGCGTTTTCAAAAGCGCGCTTGTTGGCGGGGGTTCACTGAGGGCTTCAGCTTTGCTGAACTTCAATCACTTGGCAAACATCATATGAGTCGATTGTCTCATTTATATAAAACCCTGGGGTCAAGACACTGTTCAGAAGGTTCTTGGCCGGCTTACTCACGAACAACTCCACAAGTTGATGGAACCGATATAGTTCTATGACATCCAAATTGATATGCAACTGCACCTGGACCCCTGCAGGTCTTCTGCTGGTCTTCTCCCAGCAGATTTTGTTTTGACCCAAAACAGATCTGCTGGTCTGCTGGTCGCTTCAGGGGTGACCGTCATTGGAAGTTGCTGCATGCATTGACCGAAAAGTGGCCCTCGTTGTCAACTCGTTGAAAACGAGGGCTGGATCTGCTTTAAAGCGATCTCGCTCATGGGTACAGTACTAGGAACTATCAAATGGCAACAACATGTAACAACATTGTATAATCAATTCCATTTGCTTTAACAAAAGTTACAACGCAAAGAATGAGGTATGCATGTGGCGGTATGCACGCAAAATGCCTCAGCCAGTACCCCAATGTAAGTGCTTGCTGAAGCGTTCTGGATCACGAGAAACGCAGCGCCCGTGTTCCGCATGAGGAAACGTGAAGAGTCGTGAGGTAACAGGTAACTGGTACAAAGAGAAGTTGCTCTTGAAGTCATAACAAAACATGGGAAATGATACGAAACACCTATAATTCTTGACTCCAAGCACCAACAAGCAACATGCACCACCACGTGGCAAGGGGTCTCCCTTTGAATGGGATTGTTCCGCTTTCTGACGGGTTCTCTCTTCGAACTTCCAGGCCCAAGGGACTGCTGCACCTTCCTCAAGGCTATCACTTCTTTGGAGGCCTCAAACGGTCGAAAGTCGATACCGCCCCGGCATGGCGGATGGGTCGGATGTGATCACATCGGAGCCCAAACAAGTTCTGGCGGTCAAATCGAAATGCTTCTTCTCCGTCTCTTAACACGCAAGTGGAACATGTCCGTCTGTGTCCCACAAACCAAAACCGTGCAATTCCGTCCTCACCGCCCGCCAGCGGATTGCCCCAGGGAATCACCGCACCATCCGCGCGCAGGGCGGCGAAGGCGAAGACGGTGCGTGAGATGGAGCGCACGTCGTGAAGCTCTCCTTGGACTCGGCGACTGTCCCCGCCGTTCTTCGGATTGCCCCACGTGACCTGGACGGGGCGGGCGGGCGAGTCTCGAGCGTGGAAAGAGTGAGGACTGGACAAGAAGTATATATGGTTGGAGACGGTTGAAATTGAAACACGTTAATGTTGGGAAAAAAAAAACACGATGTCAATGCCTATACCTGAATCTTTAATCGGCACAAATGTTTGCCAAATGCATTTTTATGCATGTTTCAGTGAAAAATCATATATATACAAACATGCCGTTTCAGGGGTTGCGCTCAGGATCCATGGAAAAGACTTCATAATTGCATGTCTTCCTGAAAAGGATTGAACAGGTAATTCATTGTTTGTGCCGTTTCGAACATCTAGATATATACGTGAGGACATGTTATCCAATTTTAATCCCCTTGAATGATCTCTTCGTTTTCCACCGGGAATCATAAATCATAGACGATCATGGACATACTTGTGGGAATTACGGAAGCCCTATTACATCCTATTACTATAATAGTGACCTGAACAAACTGTACTTTTGAGCGTCAGAATATTGAAGTCAGCTGTGTCTTGTTTGGTCATCAAGTTCACCCCAACTAAGGAACCAACGTCACACATGAGTGCGGCACTTGGGAGTCGGTCGGAGCGGTAGGTGCCTTTTTGGGTGAATGAGAGATGATGACAGGGTCCCCCTACCGCTGAGTCTTCAACCAAAAACTACTCGACACGTTGAGTCCAATCTGCTCAAGGAATTTTGAGGAGTCTTTGGAGATCAAGCAGAACTGAAGACTAAAAGACTTGGGACAAAGCTATTGCGACTCTGGCCTCATGCAACATGATATCATCAGGCAGATTGTCTTAGATTCTCCGAGTGACAACTCGTCCATCCTCCAGGATTGCAGCAAAAGCATGCAAACCAGATTGAATCTCCTTCACATTCTTCAGCCGATCTTGCACTTTACTACCTCATTGCTCCAACTATCAATGAAGATCACTTGTTAGATGCAGGACAAATGCGGGCACACGCGCTTGTTGCCACTCAGAAAGGAAGCAGTATGTCAGTATGTTCTTTGTGTTCCTGGTCGGGTTCCCAGTCACACACACATTGTCATGATTTGTTCGCAGTCGCCGACAAACACCGCTTCCTTCGTTCCAAAAGCTTTGCTCCAGCTTGGCTCAGCGACAGTCACCGCCGCTCCTCGGATGCCCCCAAGTCACCACGCTACCTGGGCAGCTTCGGTGTGTGCCGTGTGGGTCATGCATTGGACCCCAGCCTCCTGGATGCTTGAAGGAACACACTGAAAGAAAATAGGTCCCTGGCGTGACATTTCAGGCATTTTCAGGCTACACCCCCCACTGCCTGAC